AATTTGAACCTTTTCTATGGAACTGTGGTGTTCACCGTGTAACACAAATATAGAAAAAATCTGAAGAGTACAAAATAAAATTCTCCAAAACGCTAAATGAGCTCCATGGTATATCAAAAACAAAAACATACACAAAGACCTAAATCTACCAAGTGTAGAAGAAGTTATTCGCCATTATACACCTGAATTTCGAGAGAGACACAAGTTGTATCCAAATTTTCATGTTCGACACTAATCTCCTGCAACTGCACTAAATCACCTTAACAGAAAATCATTCATAAATATGAAGACCCTACCTCAAAAGCATACATGTTATTTATTTAAGATTTACAAAATTATTGTCAATTTCTATTTAGAAAGATTTAATCAATAAACCAATGTAAATAAATTTTTTTTTACTTTAAAAACATTCAAAATACTAGTAGATATGTTTATTTAACAGTTTTTGAATAACACGAAAAATTTTAAAATAATGAAAACCAGATCAATTTTGTGTTAATTTATTTATTTAGCCATTATACAAAAGAATGAAACACTATTTAAGGAAACAAAATACGTAAAATATCATTTTTGATCTGTGCATTTTTTGCATCATCCATATTTTTTATTTCTGAAGCTATCAATTTAAGAAAGTCTTCATCATCGATTGCATGTTTAATGGACTCTTTAAATTCTATTACTTCAACTGCTAATAGCTTCTCCTTCTCACCATCAGATTTATTCGACTCATTGTACTGTAATGCAGTTATTTCATTCAATACTGGTTCTTTCTTCATAACCACAACATCCACTTTATTAGTCACGTGTTCGACCTCTACATGTACTTGCCGTTTGTTGACACAAATTTTATTAATATCTTCTTCTGCTATGTCAAATTCTGGGACTATTGCATATGGCCATTCTTTTCTTGTTTCGATGCCAGTCAAATTCTGTTCGATACCCAAATGTGGAAGCAAGTATGACATTTCATCTCCGTATTTATATTTTGCATCTTTAAGGAAGTTTCGTAGTAAGCTATGCCAACGCGCTCTTAAAGATTTCTCTGGAAGAAAAATATATTCATTGTAGTCATATACAGTATATCAAGAACGAGTTTACACATTGAACTACAACTCACTTTATTAACTTATTGTCGCAGAAACACGGCAGTTTCCTTAAATATAAAGATTTTTGATAATAACTTTTTAATAATTATTATTATAAAAAAAATTTCAGTAGTTTGTTGTAAAATAAACGAATTCTACCACAAAAACAAATCGCACATCATTTTTTGACTGTCCAGTAACTGTTCACACAAATAATACAAAGTTCTTTAATATAAACTTTATTCACTGGAAACATTGTTATATAAGTTTTAAGTATTGAATATAGTCCTTTGTAGTATCTTTGATATATATTACAGATTACATAAAACATCTTTATATTTAAACAAATAGCAGTATATTTGGATTCTAAGTTCAAAAAGTGAATTTTATTTCAATATGTAAACTCATTCTTGACACGCTCTATTTATTAATCAAAAATTTGCTTATATTTACCTGACATATCAAATTGTTTTGCGAGTTCCTTCCAAGCTTCCATTTTTTGTTGAAACGAACCCGTTTTCTCAAACAATACAGGGAATTCCTGTATAGCTCTTATTAATGCTATATTAATATCCATTGAACGGCTTTTACTCTTCACAACCACGCTGCCTAAACTTGTCAGTGCTTGTTATTAAATGATGCGCATTATACTCGTATGTGTTATTTATCCGTTCAGAATAGTCCTCCATAGCCAAAGAACAATTCACTAAAGAGGAAACTATGATATGTACTGGACAAAACTATTTTAAAAATAGTTTGTTGATGACCTATTATATATAAGAAAAAGAACGGACTACTATTTTACCTTTACTAAAGCAATATTCAGATGTGATAATCCACTTTACGTTGGCTCAACTAGCAAATTTTATATTGAGTTGTCATTGCCGGTATCAATTGTCCGCGTACGACACACCTCAGAACTAATATTTTCACTAGTTTATAAAAAGTAAAATGGCACCCGTACCACACACCGCGAAACTAGTCTTTTCACTAGTTCATAAGAGGTAGAATGGTGTAAATTGATTTGAAAAGTAATAAATAACACGTGAAATTTATATATTATATATATATATTTATTTTAATATATATAAATATATATATACATATACACATATATGTATATTAAATACTTTTATTGCTGTAGTTTAATCAAATCTTCTAGAGTTTTGATTTTATCCTAGACTTTTGGTTTAATGACTTATGTATGTTTTAACGATTTATGGATACCGTTATGTTATTAATTGTAGTAATTCTAGATATTATTACACATTATTTTACATATTTTTGTATTACATTTTTAAAATTATTTACAATAAAGTGTCAATAAAAGCGGTGTTAATCGAAAGTAAGACCAATATATTTAAAATCGATAACTGTTAACATTACTTGATCTTCTTCATTCATAGGTGTACAGTCCACTAAGCATATTTTAATATTGTATGTTTTTACATATTCACCAAGTCAACGCGCTATTATTAATATCTTAAAGGGGCATAATATTAAAAACAAGAGAACGAATCATATTGCTCTCAATTTGTTTATGCACAACAAACATAAGCAGTGGATGTTTATTTCAACTGGTGAATCTTTGCATTGCCAGGAGTCAGAATATGCACTCTAGTTCCAAAATAAATAACTCTAATATCTGATTGAATTTCTTTGTTTCTCATTTGCATTTTAGTTTACTATTGTTCAAAGATAATAGAATACTCTATTAAATTTTCTACAAAAAAGCATTGAGAAATTTATATATTCTAAGTGGTGAGGTTTACTCATCCCCACAGACCACTCATTTCACTAGTACCTTTGGACTAGTTCGTGTACTAGTACCTAGCGACATATACATTTCGTATTGTTGTCAGCAACACACTAATACACATGAAACTATAAAAAGAAAAAATGCGATGTAAAAACTGATCATATATTTATTTGCTCTGTAGATACACCATTTACTGCGGATAACTTGATCCCGAAAAATAAAGTACTGTATGTTTAACTGGACGCCTACATATTTTAGGCTTTGTTGAGATATTCAATTACAAATACGCGTCATTATCGAATTGTGTCTACAAACAAAATTGTATATACCTATATTAGTAAAAAAATAACTGTAAGTGCAAAAATTTGCCAAAATTCAAGCCAGTGTAGACAAAAAGTAATCTAACATATTCATACAATATGGTTATCTATGTACATATATTTACATATACATATATGAACATGCATTAAATATACCACATGGTTTAAAAAGTCGAAACCAACCATACCGTCTGAATGTGTTAGTTTGAATATATATGTACATATATAAAAATATATATAAACATTGTTAATAGAATTTATGTTTTGTATATAAGCCTGATTTCATTTAATAGGAGCACAATTCAATATAGTTCTCCTCTTTTTACAACTATATATCTTTTAACTCAAGAAATGATAAAATACGTACATATTTATTAATAAATTAGCAGACATACATTGCAAATCGGAATACCTTTCTCTTTTTACCAAGAATGTAATTGATTTATTAATATTTTTAAAATCTTCTTTACTGTATCTTCATAATATCTGTTTGTCTCTTGAACTTTCCGATGCATTGGACAACATCATTGATAAAAATGAGTCGGAAGCCTGGGAAAGATCATTTAGTTGTTGCAGTATATCGACCAATAAGTCTATTGCCGCAAATCTCAAAAGTTTTCGAAATACTTCTAATAAAAAAATCCTGATATCCTCACCGATAGAAAACTTAATTCCGGGCCATCAATGTGGTTTTCGCAAAGTGCTTGGAACAATTGAGCAGGCCTTTAGAATCGCTATCGAAATACACCTAACTTTACATTCAAATCAATATTGTACGACAGTTTTTCTTGATGCAGCGCAGGCATTTGATAAGGTTTGGTTAAAGTTCTAAAATCCTATGTGACTCACCGAAAATTTAGGGTTAGACACAAATTTTTTACTTCGCAAGAGTACGATATTGACGCTGAAGTTCCAACTGACATTCCACAATACTCAAACAATTTGCTGACGATTTTCACTGACAACATTGCTATAGTCAGTAACGACCGTGACTGCACTATAACATCACAAAATTTATCCAGGCATCTTGGTTTGATTGAAGAGTGACTTGCTAAATGGAAAATCAAGGTAAATGAAACTAAATGCGTTCAAGTGACTTTTACTCTAAAGAGAGAAACATGCACTGCAGTTAAAATCAATAATGTGGTCATAGCTTAATCACATTCTTTGAAATATCTGGGAATTCGTCTAGATAGAAGGCTCAGGTGAACAAGTCATATTGATGCCAAAAGATGCCAATTAAATCTTATATATAAGGAATTTTACTGGCTTCTAATTCGAAACTCTAAACTCAGTCTGGATAACAAATTGTTAATTTACAAATTAATATTAAAGTCAATTTGAACCTTTTCTATGGAACTGTGGTGTTCACCGTGTAACACAAATATAGAAAAAATCTGAAGAGTACAAAATAAAATTCTCCAAAACGCTAAATGAGCTCCATGGTATATCAAAAACAAAAACATACACAAAGACCTAAATCTACCAAGTGTAGAAGAAGTTATTCGCCATTATACACCTGAATTTCGAGAGAGACACAAGTTGTATCCAAATTTTCATGTTCGACACTAATCTCCTGCAACTGCACTAAATCACCTTAACAGAAAATCATTCATAAATATGAAGACCCTACCTCAAAAGCATACATGTTATTTATTTAAGATTTACAAAATTATTGTCAATTTCTATTTAGAAAGATTTAATCAATAAACCAATGTAAATAAATTTTTTTTTACTTTAAAAAGATTCAAAATACTAGTAGATATGTTTATTTAACAGTTTTTGAATAACACGAAAAATTTTAAAATAATGAAAACCAGATCAATTTTGTGTTAATTTATTTATTTAGCCATTATACAAAAGAATGAAACACTATTTAAGGAAACAAAATACGTAAAATATCATTTTTGATCTGTGCATTTTTTGCATCATCCATATTTTTTATTTCTGAAGCTATCAATTTAAGAAAGTCTTCATCATCGATTGCATGTTTAATGGACTCTTTAAATTCTATTACTTCAACTGCTAATAGCTTCTCCTTCTCACCATCAGATTTATTCGACTCATTGTACTGTAATGCAGTTATTTCATTCAATACTGGTTCTTTCTTCATAACCACAACATCCACTTTATTAGTCACGTGTTCGACCTCTACATGTACTTGCCGTTTGTTGACACAAATTTTATTAATATCTTCTTCTGCTATGTCAAATTCTGGGACTATTGCATATGGCCATTCTTTTCTTGTTTCGATGCCAGTCAAATTCTGTTCGATACCCAAATGTGGAAGCAAGTATGACATTTCATCTCCGTATTTATATTTTGCATCTTTAAGGAAGTTTCGTAGTAAGCTATGCCAACGCGCTCTTAAAGATTTCTCTGGAAGAAAAATATATTCATTGTAGTCATATACAGTATATCAAGAACGAGTTTACACATTGAACTACAACTCACTTTATTAACTTATTGTCGCAGAAACACGGCAGTTTCCTTAAATATAAAGATTTTTGATAATAACTTTTTAATAATTATTATATTGAGAATACAAATATAAAAAAAATTTCAGTAGTTTGTTGTAAAATAAACGAATTCTACCACAAAAACAAATCCCACATCATTTTTTGACTGTCCAGTAACTGTTCACACAAATAATATAAAGTTCTTTAATATAAACTTTATTCACTGGAAACATTGTTATATAAGTTTTAAGTATTGAATATAGTCCTTTGTAGTATCTTTGATATATATTACAGATTACATAAAAAATCTTTATATTTAAACAAATAGCAGTATATTTGGATTCTAAGTTCAAAAAGTGAATTTTATTTCAATATGTAAACTCATTCTTGACACGCTCTATTTATTAATCAAAAATTTGCTTATATTTACCTGACATATCAAATTGTTTTGCGAGTTCCTTCCAAGCTTCCATTTTTTGTTGAAACGAACCCGTTTTCTCAAACAATACAGGGAATTCCTGTATAGCTCTTATTAATGCTATATTAATATCCATTGAACGGCTTTTACTCTTCACAACCACGCTGCCTAAACTTGTCAGTGCTTGTTATTAAATGATGCGCATTATACTCGTATGTGTTATTTATCCGTTCAGAATAGTCCTCCATAGCCAAAGAACAATTCACTAAAGAGGAAACTATGATATGTACTGGACAAAACTATTTTAAAAATAGTTTGTTGATGACCTATTATATATAAGAAAAAGAACGGACTACTATTTTACCTTTACTAAAGCAATATTCAGATGTGATAATCCACTTTACGTTGGCTCAACTAGCAAATTTTATATTGAGTTGTCATTGCCGGTATCAATTGTCCGCGTACGACACACCTCAGAACTAATATTTTCACTAGTTTATAAAAAGTAAAATGGCACCCGTACCACACACCGCGAAACTAGTCTTTTCACTAGTTCATAAGAGGTAGAATGGTGTAAATTGATTTGAAAAGTAATAAATAACAAGTGAAATTTATATATTATATATATATATTTATTTTAATATATATAAATATATATATACATATACACATATATGTATATTAAATACTTTTATTGCTGTAGTTTAATCAAATCTTCTAGAGTTTTGATTTTATCCTAGACTTTTGGTTTAATGACTTATGTATGTTTTAACGATTTATGGATACCGTTATGTTATTAATTGTAGTAATTCTAGATATTATTACACATTATTTTACATATTTTTGTATTACATTTTTAAAATTATTTACAATAAAGTGTCAATAAAAGCGGTGTTAATCGAAAGTAAGACCAATATATTTAAAATCGATAACTGTTAACATTACTTGATCTTCTTCATTCATAGGTGTACAGTCCACTAAGCATATTTTAATATTGTATGTTTTTACATATTCACCAAGTCAACGCGCTATTATTAATATCTTAAAGGGGCATAATATTAAAAACAAGAGAACGAATCATATTGCTCTCAATTTGTTTATGCACAACAAACATAAGCAGTGGATGTTTATTTCAACTGGTGAATCTTTGCATTGCCAGGAGTCAGAATATGCACTCTAGTTCCAAAATAAATAACTCTAATATCTGATTGAATTTCTTTGTTTCTCATTTGCATTTTAGTTTACTATTGTTCAAAGATAATAGAATACTCTATTAAATTTTCTACAAAAAAGCATTGAGAAAATTATATATTCTAAGTGGTGAGGTTTACTCATCCCCACAGACCACTCATTTCACTAGTACCTTTGGACTAGTTCGTGTACTAGTGCCTAGCGACATATACATTTCGTATTGTTGTCAGCAACACACTAATACACATGAAACTATAAAAAGAAAAGATGCGATGTAAAAACTGATCATATATTTATTTGCTCTGTAGATACACCATTTACTGCGGATAACTTGATCCCGAAAAATAAAGTACTGTATGTTTAACTGGACGCCTACATATTTTAGGCTTTGTTGAGATATTCAATTACAAATACGCGTCATTTTCGAATTGTGTCTACAAACAAAATTGTATATACCTATATTAGTAAAAAAATAACTGTAAGTGCAAAAATTTGCCAAAATTCAAGCCAGTGTAGACAAAAAGTAATCTAACATATTCATACAATATGGTTATCTATGTACATATATTTACATATACATATATGAACATGCATTAAATACACCACATGGTTTAAAAAGTCGAAACCAACCATACCGTCTGAATGTGTTAGTTTGAATATATATGTACATATATAAAAATATATGTAAACAATGTTAATAGAATTTATGTTTTGTATATAAGCCTGATTTCATTTAATAGGAGCACAATTCAATATAGTTCTCCTCTTTTTACAACTATATATCTTTTAACTCAAGAAATGATAAAATTCGTACATATTTATTAATAAATTAGCAGACATACATTGCAAATCGGAATACCTTTCTCTTTTTACCAAGAATGTAATTGATTTATTAATATTTTTAAAATCTTCTTTACTGTATCTTCATAATATCTGTTTGTCTCTTGAACTTTCCGATGCATTGGACAACATCATTGATAAAAATGAGTCGGAAGCCTGGGAAAGATCATTTAGTTGTTGCAGCATATCGACCAATAAGTCTATTGCCGCAAATCTCAAAAGTTTTCGAAATACTTCTAATAAAAAAATCCTGATATCCTCACCGATAGAAAACTTAATTCCGGGCCATCAATTTGGTTTTCGCAAAGTGCATGGAACAATTGAGCAGGCCTTTAGAATCGCTATCGAAATACACCTAACTTTACATTCAAAACAATATTGTACGACAGTTTTTCTTGATGCAGCGCAGGCATTTGATAAGGTTTGGTTAAAGTTCTAAAATCCTATGTGACTCACCGAAAATTTAGGGTTAGACACAAATTTTTTACTTCGCAAGAGTACGATATTGACGCTGAAGTTCCAACTGACATTCCACAATACTCAAACAATTTGCTGACGATTTTCACTGACAACATTGCTATAGTCAGTAACGACCGTGACTGCACTATAACATCACAAAATTTATCCAGGCATCTTGGTTTGATTGAAGAGTGACTTGCTAAATGGAAAATCAAGGTAAATGAAACTAAATACGTTCAAGTGACTTTTACTCTAAAGAGAGAAACATACACTGCAGTTAAAATCAATAATGTGGTCATAGCTTAATCACATTCTTTGAAATATCTGGGAATTCGTCTAGATAGAAGGCTCAGGTGAACAAGTCATATTGATGCCAAAAGATGCCAATTAAATCTAAAATATAAGGAATTATACTGGCTTCTAATTCGAAACTCTAAACTCAGTCTGGATAACAAATTGTTAATTTACAAATTAATATTAAAGTCAATTTGAACCTTCTCTATGGAACTGTGGTGTTCACCGTGTAACACAAATATAGAAAAAATCTGAAGAATACAAAATAAAATTCTCCAAAACGCTAAATGAGCTCCATGGTATATCAAAAACAAAAACATACACAAAGACCTAAATCTACCAAGTGTAGAAGAAGTTATTCGCCATTATACACCTGAATTCCGAGAGAGACACAAGTTGTATCCAAATTTTCATGTTCGACACTAATCTCCTGCAACTGCACTAAATCACCTTAACAGAAAATCATTCATAAATATGAAGACCCTACCTCAAAAGCATACATGTTATTTATTTAAGATTTACAAAATTATTGTCAATTTCTATTTAGAAAGATTTAATAAATAAACCAATGTAAATAAATTTTTTTTTACTTTAAAAAGGTGACCAAATAATAAACACATTCAAAATACTAGTAGATATGTTTATTCAACAGTTTTTGAATAACACGAAAAATTTTAAAATAATGAAAACCAGATCAATTTTGTGTTAATTTATTTATTTGTATAAAGACAAAAGAAGGTAACACTATTTAAGGAAACAAAATACGTAAAATATCATTTTTGATCTGTGTCTTTTTTGCATCATCCATATTGGTTATTTCTGAAGCTATCAATTTAAGAAAGTCTTCATCATCGATTGAATATTTAATCGACTCTTTAAATTCTTTAACTTCAACTGCTAATAGCTCCTCATTTTGACCATCAGATTTGTTCGACTCATTATACCGCATTGTAGTTATTTCATGCAATATTGGTTCTTTCTCCGTATCTGCAACATCCACTTCATTAGTCACTTGTTCGACCTCTACATGTACTTGCTGTTTGTTAACACAAATTTTATTAATATCTTCTTCGATACCAGCCAAATTCTGGTCGATACCCAAATGTGGAAGCAAGTATGACATTTCATCTTTGTATTTGAATTTTTCATCTTCAAAGAAGCTTCGTAGTAAGCTATACCAATGGGCTTTTAAAGATTTCTCTGGAAGAAGTATATATTCATTGAAGTCATATACAGTATATCAAGAACGAGTTTACACATTGAACTACAACTCACTTTATTAACTTATTGTCGCAGAAACACGGCAGTTTCCTTAA